ACCAAAGAAAGGATTAAATCAGCAGCAAGCGGACAGGGAGGAGAGGAGAGGAGGGATTCCCACTCTCTGGGAGCCTGATCTGGGAGCCGCCGGCACGGTGCGGGGCAGACGGGGAGGAATGTGGTGGGGCAGGCAGCATCACTCCCACAGCAGGCTCTCCTGGTGCCACAAAGGCTGCAGGGCTGGCTCCCACACAATGCGTGACACGGGGCAGCTCACAGTCTGCTTGGCAACTCCAGCCTCGCCCCGCACGGCTGTGGCCCTCTCCCAGGCCCCCCTGTGCCGCCCCACATCCCCCACCCACCACAACAGCAGTCAGACGGGAGTCCCCTCCAGACCCCCTGCACCCAGATACAGGGGGAGCACAGCGAGGGGGGCTGTTACCTGTCTGGAGCCAGCTCTCCATTGGTTTTCCCCTGCACCGGGTCCTCCTTGTACATCCCCCCCACCCCAGCCAGACGGTGACAAGTTGAAAAGCGGCCACATTGTCATACAAAACGTGATGACACCCCTCCCTCCGCAAACACCTCCCCCCCCCCCCCCCCCCCCCCCTGCCACAGCAGCAGCACAGCTGCTCCTCCCGGCTGAGCTGGGAAAACGTTAGTCCGGGGGGAAGGCGACGTTCGCCCTCTGTCCAGGGAGGGATTTAGATTGGCATCTCTAATTTGAATGGCCTCTCTCGTTTTAACGTTTCATCTCTGGTGCTCCTGACAGGGAAGGTCTAATTAGTGCTGGCGACAGTCGCACACAGCCCTAAGAAGCTCCCTCCCCCCTGCCTGCCACCACCCTTCCCCCAGCTCCCCCAGTACACTTCAGCCCCATCCTTTCGTCTCTCACTATCTCTCAGCAAGGCAGTCTCAGTTCTCATAGACCTGCCACTACAGTTGGAGCACCTCCAAATTCACTCTTTGCAGGAAGAGTTGCCAATGAAGCCAATTTAGATAGCAACTCCCACCTTACGAATACATCCATGCAGGACAAGGACTCCAGGAGCAGTCCTGCACGCTTGCCCTGGGTCCTCTGCAAGGCAGGGGGGGTGATGGGGAACTACTGACCCACCGCACTGTCACTGGTTACATGGCCTTAAAATGCACTTCACAGCCTCAACCCTTCTCATCCCAGGAAGATTGACTGATCTGGCCCAGCTCCTGCGGCTGCGCCGTTTCCCTCTTCTCTGCTGCCCAAAGCACCTTGAGGAGGTCGAAGACATCATCTGCATCCAGGCGGTAGTCACAGAGGCGGTGCAGGATCTCGACCCGGGTGCGCAGGGGCAGCTCCTGGAAGGTGGACTCCCGCAGGGGGTTGGGCTTCCCTTCCTCCAGCTCCCAGCGGTAATTGATGATGTCCTCCAGGTAGCTGTGAAACGTCTGGGATCTAATCGAGGAAACCAAGTCCCACATGCTCACTGTATTTTGCCGTACCAGAAACACCTGGTGCAGCCAAGAAATTCAAACAAACACAACACCAAGACAGCCAGCACTTGAATGACAACTGTGCCCCACAACAGCTCTGGTTAGCTGTAACTCAGGTTCCCAAACCACAGCAGTCTCATTGCAACACCAGCAGATTTCATATTACACACTTACTGCTTTCAGGATGCTCTATTACTCTGAGTTCTTTCCAAGCTGAAAGAACAAGCTGAATGCGATCTCCTCTCAGCCTCATCCTCTTTTTATCTCAATGGGCAGTGTGCTGTGTGAGATTCTATGTCAACTCTTAACTAAACCAGGATGCAATCAAGCATGGATGAATGAGTCCCATACCCTTCCACCTCTCCCCATCTGAAGTGGAGCCCTTCTTCTTCAGCTTTCCATTTGCTCCTCACATCTGCCATTGCCAAGCCCTACTTTTCTCTCTGCCTCTGAAATAGTTTTCCATGCCCTGGTTCAGTGGCTTGAAACTTTCTGTAGCTAATTGTCTCTCCCATCTCCCTGCTCTGCTGCTGCATGCTTCCCAGATTCCTGCT